GTTGAGAAGAAATACAGGATTAAAGCTCAACAATTTACGTTGGGCCGCCGATAATTTTTTAATTCGGATTTCTCAGAGGTCAGAGATCGTGTGGAAGTGAGTCGTATACCGCTGCAAAGAGCTACAAATTTCTGATCGAATGCTATCAATTTAATTCTTATACGCGACCGATAACTCATTTAGATCGGCGCTGGACAATTTTCTTGACCAGCCTGTATTAGCAATTACAAGGAAAGGAGAGATTGTCATACATTAAACGATGAGGATTACTAGCTTACACTCCCAGGGAAGACTCTATAGAACGTCTCTTCCTCTCCAGGTGGTGCACGGATGTCGTAACTGAGTGAATATGGAGAGTCAAATTTGGAGATAGAGAGGACCCTCTAATTCGAAGAGTCACAGCTACTCCAATAGTTATATGAAAAACATCTCCTACTGATAGATGGCATAAGGACAAACAACCATTACACCGTATCTCAGCGTTCAAAATGCATCCACCTAGATGTCGACCCACTTACAAGCTTGTTCCTGCTGCACTGAGGCGCCTATTAGTGTTCCGATTACATGTCATCCGAGCTCGATTGCAGTAAACTAATATCGCGAGAAATACACAGCACTTCGTTTGGGGGGGAATATCCCCTTCGGTGGCAAACATTGAGACATCGGAAGCAAACTGTGGATACGAAATTCATCATTTGAGCTCACCTGAGATCGGAGTCCGTCCGGGGCCATTACGATTGCACTCTGCTAGTTGTTTTTCACACTGGACTAGCCCTGCTTTCATCTTGTCGATTCTGAGAGGAAGTACAGCTTCACGACTAAGCGAGAAAACGACTCAACTCGGCCGAAGGTAGCAAATTGTGGTCCTGCGCCATCTGTAAGCTTCCTCGATATCTGGGACGGTCCTCATCACACATGCCACATGTCACGAAAACCTTACATAGCTAGAGGCGATACTACTCCAGAGACTATCATCACTCCAACCAGATTGACCTTGAAGCCGACAGACTTGACCAGCCGCGCCCCCAACGTGGCCAGCATCGAGGCTGAGGGAAGGATATTATACACTTATTTCCGGTGATGTGATCGCCTCGGAGTTTACCCGACGCCGAGAGGCCGACTAGATGCACGTCCCTGTTTAGGTCTTCATGTTGTTCGAAGAGCTTCTTGACAAAGTCCACCCTGCAAGAAATCCGACTGGATCGTCATTACTGTTGTTGGGTCAACTCACAGGTCTAATATTAGATTCTCCCATCCCTGAGTGAGAGGTCCTTCACTGAAACCTGCAGGTATCGGTGCATCGACCCAGATACCATTAGCTTGTCTCGTCCATGAGAACCTAGGGCATCGGAAGCTTCTAGTGGCTACTGAACGTGCATAAACCCAACTTGTTGTTGATGAGCGAATTTCCATTTATGCGACATGGTCCGGTAACTGCCAACAAACTTGCAAGGCTGCTGCTACCGGGACCACCAGCGCAGAATAAGAAGGTCGGTGCCGTTTTAGGATTGCCATCGGCCTGTATGATAGTGTAGAAGTACCTGGTAGTATCAGGCTGGTACAGGAGTAGCAGCACCACAACGGTAATGGTCTGCAACGGCTTCAGACTCACCAACCTGTGCAAGGGGCTTGTTTGCACGTATCCGTACTCCTGGTTCCCACTACCCTTGGGGCATAATGTTTTCCCTGTCTTCGATAGCTCACGCGGAAAGCTTGAGCCAGCTACGAGAGCGATGATAAATGGGATGAATGAGACCATTTTATCAGGGGTGTAGCTTAGTTGCGGGAGAAGTTACGCTACGATGCATGCGTGAGCGGCTCACGGTGAGCCTGCGTGTCGGTGGCACCGACTCGGTGCATTACAATGCGTGATGGTCCACCTGTTAGTAGTAACACCCGCACTGGTTGACTTAACAACACTTGGGATAGCCATAATAGGTGATAAGGCTTATCCATTTCAGCCTGAAGGCTGTGGGCCGTTTCATGCAACGAATACTGGACGATCGAGATTCGTGCATACGTGCGCCAACACCACCACGAGGTGCGTGATTCACGCACCCTCGGGCCATCTGGCTCAAGGCTCAAGTTGTTCGCCCCTATAACCATGCCAGCCGAGTCATTGTCCGGCGTGGAGAGAGTTGGCGCCGATCGGAGCAAGCCAAGCCATCCTCCAGAGCAGGAGGACATGAAGGTAAGAGACACAGCTATGGATACACCGGTGGGAGGGACCTCACATGGTCTCAGTCAGGTGGGAAGTGGAATAGTTAGCGGCAGACCGCCACAAAAATCCTTTTGAAACTGATGGATCCGAGTCTGATAGCTTTTCCGAGAAAAAGAAATCGGCAGAGATTCGACAGAAGAAAATTGGAGAGGAGCTAGCTATAGCGTGGGACTCACCAATGGAAATGGTAGGCGAATCGCCACTGGTAACTGTGGCGATGCCTGAAGGAATTATCCGGACAACGGTAAATTCTGATGAGATTGAGACTCCCAAACTCCCTCTCCTCCCGTTTTGTGGAGGACAGCTCGACGAGTACCCGAAAGACACCCCGCCCCGCATCGTCGGGAAGAAGTCTGGTCGCTTTCAATTGACCCCAGGCTGGGGTCCCCAGCCGTAGCATCAGCTGCGAGAGGTCATAGAAAACAACATATTTTGTGGGCGGATACTTCTCCGGGCATCGATAGACTCATTTCTTTGCAAGAAGCACTCAAGAAGCTTAGTAACAGGGACCCGAACACGGTCTCTGCAGAGTCCGCCCTAGAAATATTGAAGTCAGTACTAGGGCTACTCACAAGTTCCTATGCCGAAATTGGTGATTCAGTATTCTCACTGATTGAAACCAAAATGGAATCGCTTGGCAAGAATATCGAGCAGGTGGGCTCCTCAGCACCGAAGGATAAGGCGATCCTAGAAAGGGGCGTTCACCCGAGAGAAC